TCTGTTCCCTATGGGACTCTCAGATCCCAGCGCAGTCAATTATGATGTGTCCGCAGGCTCCGGTCTGCATCCAACTGATATGCAGCCTGGCTCATTCAATCCCACTTTGTCTCAAACTGCCATTACTCACCCAGATAGTGGGCTGCAGACAGTGAGAACAGATGAAATTAATAGCATGAGACGTGTTAGAAGCTTTATTGTCAAATCAATCTTATCCATCAGTGCTAATAAGCTGATGAATCACAGGTAAAAAATGGAGGATGAAGTAACAGCAGGGTAAAGTTAGCCTAGGAAATGTAGGTGTACACTATAGAGATTTGTTTCTATTAAAAACGCATTTAGAATAGATTTCCTGCCATATGGAGTCAAACATTCCATACAGAAGGTCAAGTTGTAGATTTATATATATATATTTGTTTTTTTTTTGTTTTGTTTTGATTTGTTTTTTTTTGGGACTGAAATAATGGGAAAGAGTGTTTTAAAAAATGTATACTAATTTCACAAATGTAGAGATTTTCTCAAGCTGCTGGTCTGGAGTCCGATTTTCCCTTCTCACTATCAATTAGTTTGGATTTGGCATAGAGAAACTTCTCATAGACCAGCAGCATTACTGTCTATCTGTATTCATCATTACTACACACATAATGCCTGTGACCAAATAATATCCAATATATCATATACAAAGAAAATACATTATTGATGAATCAATAATACAATATTGATTAATATAAATTATTATTATTATTATTACTACTACTACTACTAATAATAATAAAAATATGATTTCCAAAGCCAGTTTTATCCCTCCTGCTGTTCTGAACACAGTTGCTAAGGTAAACATAAGTACTCAGCTCCAAAAGAAGAGTAGTTATTTGTAGGGCTCTTCAAGCAGCAATCATCAACAGTGGGCACACCCATCTCAATCAGATGGGCAAAACTAGCTCTTCTATTAAACAGAGTGTAGGATACAGACATTTGAGAGCATTAGTGGTATTCTGTAAGAGGCACAATTTAGATTGTCTCATAATAATCATGTTCAAGCAACAGAAAATCTGTATGTTTAATGTCTGTTAGCTGTTCCTTTATATTGATCAATTCTTCCTCCTGCTGCCTTGACAGCTTACAATTTTAGCATACTTTGGTCACCATACACTCTAAAAAACAATTCTAGTAATACACTCCCTTACAGATATGGAATGCTGTTTGCAACCCATTTTACTTCCATAATTTGAAGTATTTCCAAGAAAAAATGTAGGGTGGGACTTCATTTTATCTATCAGGAATTGATTGCAAAAAGTGTAAGAGAACTAAACATAAAAATGTATGTAGGCTTATCTATGTATAGTTTTCACTAAAATGTTATTATGCACAAAAAATGCCTGATTAACCTCATGTTTCCTCAAATGCTTTGGAAGCATTAAGGGAAAAAATAATTCCTTACAACTGCAACCTCTCCAAGATTCGTCCTTCTTCAAAGTGCAAGAATTCAAAGAAAAAGAAGTGCAAGAGGAACTTGCTTGCTTCTCCTTCCTTTCAGAGGAAGAGCGAATATTTAAATTTTGATTAAAGAACTTGAATTTCTTTTATTTGGAATAACATGGACCAATGAAGAATTCACAGTAAGTCCAATAGCATGCAGTAGGAAAATAATAAATGTTTTAAGTTGACTCATACTTTTATACAAATACATACAAATGTTCTGTCTTTTATTGGCAGAACTGCCAGCTGAAGAGGGCATGACAGCTCTCTGAAAAGAAGCCTTAAGAAAAATATTCATAAACACTTTGCAAACATTTTGTTGTTGTGTAAACAAAATCTCTTTTTGCACTGTAAATTCATTTTTAGGCAGTTTGGGACAACAAAGCATGATGCATGCATGGTGCTTGTCCTTGTACCCTCTGTGATGGCCCCTGACAGAATGAGGCTGCCTGGAGTGAGTAGAAAGTATGGAGTATGGGTGTGTGCTAGGGAGGGGTCTAGTTTCCTGTCATGTCATGCGCATGTTGGACATTGTTTTTTGTTAGTGTGCGATGTAATGGGGTGGTGACAGATGGGATCTTTTAGCTGATAATAATAATTTAGCATAAAATGTAATAGGCAAGGCAAGTTTATTTATATAGCACATTTCGTACACAATGGTAATTCAAAGTGCTTTACATAAAAGAAAGTAAAATAATCATAAAATATAATCACAAAAATAAAACAAGGAATTTAAAAACTTTGAAAATGATTTAAAAATTGATTTAAAATGAATTTAAGACAGTTAAAAAACAGCTTCAAGTGGTTAAGTGCATATGGGTTCTGCTCTTAGTTTGTTCACTTTGACTTCTATTCAAAACAAAAGGAGAAATTTTTAATTATGAACTGGTTGGAGCTTTCAGACACTCACAATTACAATTATCAATGTAGTCCATATGATTGTGAACAAATCTTTCAGACTGTTTCGTGAACTGGATCAACTGATTCACTGAAAATATCGGCCTCTAAGATTCTATTCATTCTTTTCTCATGAACTCTCAAGAACAATTCAAGAACCACTGCAGATATCAAGATTTTCGATGTATAATGATTTAATTTTCCAGTTTGTTCCTCTCAAAATCACTATCGAATGTCTTCAGAAGACATATGAGTCATATGGACCACTTAAATTTATGGTGTCTCCCCCCCTAATTTTGGAGCTTGACAGCCCCAGTCCTGATTTACTTACTTATTGGATTTGGTGGTTCCATGAAGAACATGTAACCTTTTCATTGCACAAAAGGTTCTTCATAGTAAAAATTCACGGTAAGAAAAAAAAAATCCTTTTAAGAACTGTTGGGTGAAAGGTTCTTTATGGAACCCAAAAATGGTTCTTCTTTCACATCACTACCAAACCCCCTTTTGGAGCTTTTCTGAAAAGAGTGACCAGGATATTATATTAAAAAAAATCACCTTTTGTGTTTCACAGAAGAAAACACCTCAGGTTACGTATGTAATCCTAGTTCCTCGAGGGAACGAGACGCTGCGTCGAAAACGCTAGGGGAACGCCCTTCAGCGTGACGGGCTCTGAACCTCGTGTGTAATCAGACCAATAGATGGGCGAGACGTCACGGCGGGTGACGTAATGACCAGGAGGCTATAAAAGCACGTGCGGTGAGACCAGCGTCAGCTCCTAGGAATGAAGCAAGCGCTGGCAGGGACGCCGGAAGTATGGCACCGAGACGCAGCGTCTCGTACAAAAACACATGGATTCACTACAGGAGACCTTTCCCCCCGGAGCCGTGTGAGGCACATTTATTATGGATGCGCGCGCTTTATTTGGCGGCTTGTGGACTGTTCAAATGCAACACCTGCTGACTGCAATGATAGAGCTTGGAATAGCCAGGACAATTTTTTTATGGTTAAGCAAGTTATAATAATAATAATCGGCAGAGATCCCAGACCAATACAATTAGTGTGCCTCCTCTATTTTAAAACCCACGAGCCGCCACTGCACTAGGATGCCTCGAGGGTGAGTTAAACACAGGCTAATTTTAATTTTTGGTTGAACTAACCCTTTAAGAAAGCACAAACGACCCTGAAGTACCCTTACTTCCCACCCCCACCTGCCATGCTAGACCCCCTCTTTACTCGTGCTGCTCAAATCACGACACCAAGCCAGAGAGCTGACATTTCAATAACATATAGACGACACATGCGCACACACACACAAAGAGGCGTCTCTTCACACTCACAGACGTTTCAGAGATGGACTGTCACATGTCACAGGTCTAATATAGTTAAACAACATAGACTTTAAGAGGTGCAATCTCTTTGAAGAAATTGTGTGTGTACCAACTCACTGTCGCAGTGATTGATAGAAGACTTAGCGGAGACTGGGGCTTGTTGTCACTGTTTTTTAAGCAAGTTAATATTTCTCAAGGTAGGTTTTTATAAAGTCAGTTTATTTTTTAAAAAAGGGTTCCAAAAGAGGGGTTTTGCAGCAATGTCATTGAAGACCCCTTTTGGGTTCCCCAAAAAACCTTTCAAGGCCTGTTCACACCAAGATTGAACTATAAAGATAATTATAATGATAATTATATTAGCATACATAGCAATGCACAATTTAATTCTGTTTATTATAAGCGTGCTGCCGCTTTGTTGTCTGCCTTTTTAAACGCTTCAGCTCTTTAAAGTTTGGAGGATACTTATTGGATGTCAATGATTTTATTGCTCATCAGCTGGAAAAAAAATCTGAAAGTAATTCCATATAATTCCTCTGTGTTATTAACATTATGTGATGTGGATATTATAGATCCACTATTATCCACGATTGTGGATCATAGAATTAGAATGGTAATTACAACTTTATTATTGTTATCATTAGTTATTGTCCTCGGTGTGAACAGGCCTTTAAGGTCAGCATGAAATAGAAATTCACAAGAACCAAGTCCTGCCCTACATTTTTTTTTTCGATAGTCCATTACCCTCAGATGTTCATCACAATACAGAAGGAAAAAAATCTGTTGCTACTTCTGTTACATTGCAATTTCCATTTGAAAGAACCTTTTGTGGAATGGAAACCTTTATTTTCAGGTGCACAGGAAAAGAAAACAGGTTATTTAACAAACATTGACCTTTTGTGACAACATGATGCTATAGTGAGTTTTCACAGTGGAACATGCCAGGAAACAAGCAGATTTTAAACCATACAACAATTACCGAAAGCAATTCATTAAATAGAAACAATTCTAACATTTAAAACAACTTCCCCCAATAACAATGTACATCCAGGCATCAAAATAGACTTTATACTTGTACTACCCCCTTGTGAGCCTTCCCTTAATGCATTTGTGCTGTAGAGGGTTAAGTTATGACTGAGGTTGTGGTCTAGATGTGAATTGCGGTGGGACAGGCCTACATGTATGCCACAGGGAATGTCAGTGTCACGACCTTTGTGAGCATGTAGACAAAGGGATGGTGATACTTTTCTTATCTGACTCGCCATCTGTGGTGGTGTTGAGGGGGGTCAGGGAAGTGAAAACAATTTGACCATTAAATCTCCGCCCACGAGTTGAAAGAGCAAAGCGCTAAATTTGTGTTCAGGGAGGAGTCAGAGAGAATCCCTGAATGTACCAGCACCACTAATATATCATTTCTAATAGCATATCTATTGATTAACAGCAGCAGAACGCGAATAGAGTGAAAGAAGTAAAAAAGGAAGGGCGTTGAAGTTGTTAGAAGAGAGTGTCCCTCCCTCCAGGCTGAACTGTAGAAAGCGTCTCTGGTCTGCGCTACCAGCGAGAGGGACGCGAGATTAGGGCAGCAGTTTGAGGGTCTCTGGAATTTATTAGCTGACGCTGGAAGCTCGGTGTTTTTTTTCTGGATTCGGAGCAGATCTACAGGTCCGCCAGTTTTTCAGTCGGCATTCATTCACGCAGACCTACGCCCATCACATTTTACCTCGTTTCATCTCTGGAACTCAGGACAGCGAAGACGAACGGGTGTTGTTTGGATTTTGAGGTGAGATTCTCGGTAAACCGCACTCCGCTGGTGTTTACGTGAATGCAAACTTGTGATAGCTGGTCAGTGAGATACGAAGCTCTCTTTATCTATTCATTTAATTCAAATTTCGAAACTCTGCCATGTATGGTTATCTCTTAAGCAGGGTAGAACTAAACAGATAAACACTCATATGTGTATTGTTTTGATACATTACAGTGATGGTGCGAGGGTTCACTCGCTTTTTACGCGTAAATTTAAGTTTACTGTAGCCTAACAACTGTTTGAGAAGCTTGAAGGCAGAAAAAGTCGGAATTAAAAACAGTCGTTTATGTAGGCTATTCAGCTAACATTGCGCTTCTTTCACTCCCAAACAAACAATCTCCTTACGTTACACTCGCTCGTATTTCACCGATGACGGCGCGTGTCACCATCCGGCGGTTTCTGTTAAATCTAATTAACGTTAGTTGAGTAAAGCTCGGGAAAAGTCTGGGTGGGATGAGGAGACATCAAGCTGGCGGTTTTCCCACGGGGTGTGACAGCAGGCAGCGTGTGTTGTCCAGGAGGTCCCGTCATAACTGTAGTTTATCCCCCCAGACGCACAGGTCAGCAGATGGAGGAGGCAGCCCTGCCGACGGGCGTGAGTTCAGTGCATTCCATTTTAAATCAATCAAACCGCATCTTATCAGACCGCCGGTCATCAGTGTGTGAAGTGAAAGAGATAAATCTATCTATCTATCTATCTATCTATCTATCTATCTATCTATCTATCTATCTATCTATCAGTTTAGCAACTCAGATATAATCATTTAACCCCTGACATTCCCTTTAACAAAGAGTGAAATTCTCCATGCTTTGAAACAATGGTGCACCATTAGACATGAATTATGGGGGTTTTCCTGAAAACTAAAACCATGTATGAGTTATCTTTGGCCATATTCCAGAAGCAACAAAAACAGTGCCGGGTTAGGTTAATGTATCCTGTTCAATATTTCTGAAATCTTCTAATCTTTGTATGCACTTAACCAGCAATGTTAATTGTTAGCCTACTATGCCTTCAGAAGATTGTTTTTCCAGCCTACATGATCTTCACAGCCTGTCAAACTACATCAAATATGGTGGTATATAGTAACTAGATCTGCCATGCAATCAAATCTTATCTAATCAGGTGTTACTGAGAAGAACTTACAAACCTTTCAATTATGTTGTTGTTCTTGAAACTGAGTAATTTGTGAAGTCTCTCTTTGAGACAGGGTATTATTTCAAACAAAGCCATGCCATATATTCTCGAGGTTATTGAAAGATTTGTAAGTACACAGGCCTTAAATCTTACATTCCAACTGTCTAACTTAATGCGTGCTGTAACTCTATATCCATTAGAGGGTTTTGGTGAATTTGTCCACCTATTTCTGGACCTTATTTTTGTAGTCTGACATAAAGGTTTGCTGCACTTGTTCCACAAAGCAGACTCCGACCAGTTTTCAATTAGTCAGGCACTTGTGCATGACGATATTGGCTCTGAGGGATCCATTAATGCCAGCCTCTGGTGGCTTTGTAGTTTAGCTAAATGCTGATGTCAGAAGCACTCAAAGACTTCACTCGCAGAGCTCAACACGGGCTCAGAGGTAAGACTAGAGCCTTAACCTTTACATTCCTCTGAGCTATTGCAAGGTATTCGAGAAGAACCAACACAATCCCAAGATCAGTTTGTAACTGTATAATGTTTTGGTGAACTGGGCTAGTTCATATAAATCTCATTTGTATGTTTTCATACAATCTGCTTATGGAACAGTTATGTTTGAGGGTGGGGTTATGGTGGACCTTCATGTTTACTTTTGTTTTTAAAAATTTTACGTTTTTGAATGATTCACATTGTAAAATGTGGACATCAGAGGCCTAGAAATGATAGTGTTTGGTCTAATCTACAAGCTTTGTCCTATGGAAAAAGCCAGATCAATGTGACACCTCATTAGCCCACTTTTTAAATGCTCTTTGTTACATTTTTTTCACATGGATAAAGAAATGAATCATGACAATTATTTATTTAGGATCAATTTCTCCTTTTTAGATTAACGGTCGCTATTGTTTGTATTGGTTGGTAATTATCCATTGAAAATTCTCTTTACAGACATGAAAATGAACCGATTGATTATTTAGAGGTATATCAAACTAACCTAAGAACTGAAGTGGTGGACTGATGTGTTATGGAAGAGGGAGTCTGTGTTGTTCTGCTCGAGCAGACACAGAATCGTTCAGTCACTAAAGCATTGAGCTACTGGAAATTAATCTTTGGTTCTTCGTGGCAGGAAATCCCTGTTGAGAGCAAGAGGCCCGTCTCCCTGCTGTAATATTAATATCAGTTGACATGGCGGCAAATGAACTGGTCGTCAGGGCTGGTTTGATCTCCACTGCATTTCCTAGATCTCTAATCGGCGCAGGTGATTCATTCCACCCTGAGCTCTTATCCAGCCTCCAGTGAAATACCCTTATTGACAGCAGAGCGAAGGCCCTGGGAGAAAAGGCGGTCAAGTCATCACTTTCTTCCAAGTTTCAGGCATCAGAGCTACACGAGCTGGCAGTTTGTAGTCTGCAGAGGATCTGGAATGAGATAGAGTTGAAAAGATCTATTGCCTTGAAAAGAAAATTGCTTTTCCCCCCATTTGCTGGAGGACTCTCATCTAATTCATATGACATGGGGCGCTTCACCTGGTAATGGGTTTTGGGGCCTCGTTGCCTCTGAGACATATGAAATTTGCAAAGGAACTGTGTAGATTAATTACCATGAAGAATATGTGTTCGTTGGTCATAGATTCTTCAAAAATGAAGAGGCTTGTCAAGTATGACCTGCCTCTGTAGAACTTCAATTGTGAATGCATAGATCTTTTTTATGCTAGATGCCTTTGTCCTAGAAGGCTTTGAGAAACTTTAGAGGATGCAGCTGAGGGCTCCAAAGTTCATTCAAGACAGGGATGTCCACTGACCCTGGTAAATAACAGGACTTCTTTATCAAGAGGAAACAGACTGCTTGTTTGTGTTAGGCATAATACTTATCTATTATTCAGGCAATTTCCTTCAATATTAGTGTGCCAGGGATATAATGAGGTGAAAGTATGCATACAACAAGCTGTGCTCTACAGATAGCCGAGTGTCTCATTATTTAATCTTTACCCACAAGGAAATGCAGATTTTAGATGTATTACGAACTTGATTTTTCCACACTCCAGTTTGAAGTGTAGGTTTTATATGGAAGGAACCTTGTTGGTGTGTCCATTCAAAATTTTATTTTCCTAAATATCTGCATTTTAGTTACAGATAGAAATCTTGCTACAGGTACAGTGATTAAGCAGGAGGAGAATAATAGAGAAGTTTGGAGTCAAGGTCTCCTTAAGATGCTTATTAAATTCAGTGGTTAAGGTGACTCTTTCATTTGAAGAGTCTATTTAGTGAATAGTTGAAGCAGTAGACATTGGTACTGGGCTTCATTTTTTATTTGAGAGGAATACAGTGACTTTTTTTAAGCTTGCAAAGAATAACTTGCACTTGCTTGTTGTTAATGCCTGCTGGTAAAAAAACAGTTAATTTAACTTTAATAAGCTGGATTATGGGATGCCATTTTGGTGCCTAGGTCTATATATTGTACATGCGATATATAGCATATGTATCACAATTGGTACAGAGAATCTTCCATTTTTACTAGTATTTGGTACTGAGCTGTTGCCCGTGAATTGAATGTTCATTTCTCTACCATAAGCCGTCTCCAAAGGCGTTTCAGAGAATT